TTTTTCAGTTTCCTCAAGGCCATTGTGGGCTGTCCCTCCTTAACCCCAGCCTCAGGAGCCACTCTGCCTCTGCCCTGCAAGTGGGCACGCGGGACAGTAAGTCCTGGCCTCTCACTCAGCAGAGCGTTCATCACTGCACGGCCTCCCACTGCTAGGACAAACCTGTCTTTTGTAACGTTTATTTGTCGCTGTGTCTCCAGAGTCTGGCTCTTACAAGTGAGGCTGTGATGGGCATTTCTGGGGTTCTTCGAGTGGACACACGTGCTCCTCTCTGTTTGTTTTTTTGTGTTTTTTTGAGAGGTTTTCGCTATAGAGCGCGTGCGCTCGCCAGACAGACAGAGAGACAGAAAGCGAGAAATCACCCCCCGGGGGGATGGCCACGCCGCAATCCCTTCTCCTCCACCCTCCTCTCGGGATCTTGGGCACCCACGCACACGCGCCTGGCATGAGTTTAAGCCACCAGGTCCGGGACTCGTACTGCGGTTGACTACACAGGAGTCCAGCGACATAGCCATTACGCTAACTGCTGGTCCTGACGTGTTCGTTTCTTTTCGTAAATTCCATACCTGGCGGCAGAGATGCTGGGTCAGGTGATAAGTTTATGTCCTACTTTTTGAGATACTGTGATGTTTTTCTCTTTTTTTATTTTTTTGAGAGGTTTTTGCTATAGGGCATGTGCCCTTGCTAGAGAGAGACAGAGACTGAAAGCGAAAGCCCGGGGGGATGGCCACACCACAATCCCTTCTCTTTCATTCTCCTCTTGGGATCTTAGGCACGCATGCATACGTGCCCGGTGTGAGTTTAAGCCACCGGATCCAGGACTCGAACCGTGGTCAACTACATGCGAGTCCTGAGACGCAGCTATTATGCCATCAGCTGGTCCCTGTCTCTTTACTTTTTTAGAGAGAGATTTTTGCTATATTACATAGTTGTGGTGGTTAAGACTGGACACTCCACATGGCCAACCAGGACTCAAGTCCTGAATCTGGTGGCTGGCTTTCTTGCTTCCTCTCTCTGGTCAAATTAAAATAAATGAATGAATAAATAAAATAAATAATTCTTTTTAAAAATGTTGCTTTAGGACCAGCAGTTGGCGTAATGGTGTGTCACTGGACTCCCACGTGTTTAACTGTGGTTTGAGTCCCAGATCCAGTGGCACCAGGCACATGTGCGTGCGTGCCCAAGATCCCGAAAGGAGAGTGGAGAAGAGATTGCGGCGTGGCCATCCCCCCTGGGGGGTAATCGCTCGCTTTCTGTCTCTCTGTCTCCTCTCTCTGTCTTTCTGGTGAGCGCACGCACCCTTGTAGCAAAAAACCTCTCCAAAAAAATTAAATGTCGAATAGCTTTAGATTAACTCCTTTAACCCTCCGGTTCTGTGATACTAACGACTGTAAGACATGTAGACTAAAGAGATAATGGGAAGAAAAGACTTAGACTCCTTCAAAAATGTGAGGAGACAAATTCACATTCGGCATGAGTTTTTCATCTGCCGGGCCCAGTACTTGAACCGTGTTCAACTACGTGAGAGTCCATCAACGTAACCATTATGCCTTCTGCTGGTCTCCCCTTTTTGTTGAGAGATTTTTGGTATAGGGCATGTGCGCTAGCCAGAGAGATGAAGAGAAACAGAAAGAGAAGTGATCCCCCAGGGAGGGCCAGACTGCAATCCCTCACTCCTCCGTTCACTCCTCAGGGTTTTGGACACAAACATGTCCCAGCGTCAGTTTTAAGCTGCTGGGTCCAGGACTCAAACCATGGTTGACTGCATGGGAGTCCAGCACCTTTACCACTGTGCCACCTGCTGGCCCCATGTGGCCTGCTTTCACAGCGGCGTGGAGGCTGCATCTCTCACGTCCCTGCGGGCCGGCTGTTGGTGCGGCTGTCCCGTGGGGATATGTGGGCTCCTGTGGTTTCCTTGCACATTCTCAGTAACGGAGGGTGTTGGTCATGGCTTCCAGCAGTGTTGAGGTCTGTGTATCTTTCCTGAAGGGTTCAGATCTTTGCCCCATTTTAAAAATTGCATTGGGGGAAAAAAAGTTCAGCAGATGGTGTCATTGGACTCCCTCATGGCCAACCACAGTTTGAGCCCCAAACCTGGTGGCTTGAAGCTCACACCAGGCACATGTGTGTGAGTGCCCAAAATCCCAGAAGGAAAATGCAGGGGAATGGATCGCAGCATGGCCATCTACCCTGGGGGGTCATTTCTCACTTTCCCTCTCACTCTCTCTTTCCAGCGAGCACACATGCCATAAGGCAAAAAACGTTTTAAAAAATTACATTTTTGTCTGAAACAATTGAATCATGTAAGAGTTCCTTATGAATTCAAGTGTGAACGATCCTTTTTTTAAAGGATTGTTTAATTTAACTTCATTCATTCATTCATTCATTTTAATTTGATCAGAGAGGAGCAGAGTGAGAGAGAGAAAGAGAGGAAAAGTGAGAAAATAACCCACCAGGTCTGGGACCCGAACCTCAGTCGGCCATGTGGAAGTCCAGCGCCCTTAGCCCCCACACCACCTGCCAGCCCCAATGTGAATGATTCTTTCAGCCATTCTGTGGCTTACTTTGAGCACAAACCTGCCTGGTGGTCTGGATGTCTCTTTTCACTACTGCCAACCAGCCTTGAGTCCTGTAGGTTAATACTGTCTCTTTAGATGAGGCCGAGGAAACCCTTTCACTTTTTTCCTCGTAGTAGTGTTGCTGTGACCAGTCCGGGTCTGTTGCATTTCTATGTAAATTTTCAGATCAGTTTATCTTTTTTTTTTTTTGGAGAGGTTTTTGCTATAAGGTGCGTGCGCTTGCCAGAAAGACAGAGAGAGACAGAGACAGAAAGCGAGAAATCACCCTGCAGGGAGGATGGCCACGCCTACTGCAATCCCTTCTCCATTCTCCTCTTGGGATCTTGAACACACACGCACAAGCGCCCAGAGTGAGTTTAAGCCACCAGGTCTGGGACTTGAACCGCAGGCGACTACATGGAAGCCCAGTGACATGGCCATTACGCCAACTGCTGGTCCCCATTTTCTCATTTTCTACCAAAAAAAAAGCTTGCGTGGCTTAATTAGGATTTTGTCAAGTGTGCAGATTAATTTGAGAAGAATTGGCATTTTAACAATATTGAGATTTCCAATCTGTAAACACGGTAAGTCTCTCTTTTATTATTACTAAGTAATTTGGGGCTTTGAATGCTGCTATAAATGGAATTTATATATAATGAAGTGTTCTAACTAGTTGTCCCTATCCAAAATACAATAGATTGAGGGGCTGCCAGGTGGGGTGGTTAAGACATTGGACTCCCACGTGGTGGACTGCAGTGATAGTCCCGGACCTGGTAGCTCACTTTCTCTCTCTCTGGTCAAATTAAAAAATAACAATTTTTTTTAATGCAATCCGTTGTTTTCTGTATTACACTTCTATCCTGTGGTTTTGAGGTTTTTGTTTTTCTATTTTTGAGAGATTTTTGCTGGAGGGTGTATGTGCTCACCAGACAGAGACAAAGTGAGAAGTCACCCCCCACCGGATGGCCATGCTGCAATATTCTCTTCCCAGGATTTTGGGAATGCACACACATGTGCCCAGTGTTAGTTATTTTATTTTTTATTTTAATTTTTATTCATTTATTTTAATTTGACCAGAGAGAGGGGGAAAGTGAGAAAACAAGTCACTAGGTCCAGGACTCAAACCGCGGTCAGCCTTGTGGGAGTGTCCAGCACCTTAACCACCATGCCACCTGCTGGCCTTGCCCAGCATTAGCTTCAAGCTACCAGGTCTGAGCCTGGAGCCATAGTCGACTGTGTGGGATTCCAGGGACATGACCACCGTGCCACCTGCTGGCCCCAACCCTGTGGCTTTGTTGCCTCTGTTTACGGCATTGTCATAACCAGGTCTGTGAGTACACAGTCTGACTTTCTGACCTTCGGGCTTTCTGCTTGTTTTCCCTACTGCATCTGTGGGGTCCTTGTGCCAGGCGGATGGCAGTGGGAGAGCGGGCATCATTGGTATGCCCTGTCTGTAAGAGGAGGACTCTCAGTGTTTCTGCTGAGCCAGGACTAGCTGTAGGTTATTGGTAAACGTTCTTTTATTTTTAATCACCAGAGGGTCAGAAAAGGAGAAAGCACCCCACTATGGTGTGGGGTCATGCATAATCTCCTCTTCATCGTTTTTCACTCACCAGTGTTTGGACACACGTGCACACATGCGGCTGGTGTGTGTTCAGGCCTCCTGAGCCGGGACTAGGACCGCTGCATGGTGGAATCTGGCCCCCTCGGTCACTAGGCTAGGGGCCAGCCCTTTTGTCCCTGTTCTTTGTCAGACCTGGGGATGTTTCCTTTAATTTCCAGATTTCTAGTAATTATTTCTAAAATGAACTTGGTGTTGATTTCATTACCCGCTCTTGTGATCTGTCAGATGGTGACATGGTGAGTCACACTGGTTCTTCTGAAATGGTAAGTCAAGCTTTTCAGACCTGGAGTAAGCCCTTGCTCAACATGTATGTAATGTTTCCTGTGCCGTGACTCGGTTCACTAGCACTTTGTGAGGGGTTTTTTTGTATCATAGCCTTTTTTGGTAACGTCTTCAATCTCAGTGTTAGGATGCCACTTAAAACAAGTTCAGGGGGGCCAGCAGATGGTGGTATAATGATTACATTGTGGAACTCCCATGTGTCTACCACGGTTTGAGTCCCAAACCTGGCAGCTTAAAATTCACACCAGGCACATGTGCATGTCCAAGATCCTGAGAAGGGAATGGAGAAGGGATTGTAGGGTGGTCTTCCCCCCCGGGGGTGATTTCTCACTTTCTGTCTCTCTGGTGAGCATACATGCCCTGAAGCAAAAATCTCTCAAAAAAACCGTCAAGTTTGGGAGCCCGCAGGTCTGGAGGTTAAGGTGGCTGGGTTCCCCGGCGGAGTGGTCTGAGCACCAGACTCAGCAGCCTGAACAGCACGACGGGCTCCCAGGGGTGGCTGGTGCCTGTTGACATGTTCTGTGTGTTTCTTGTAGACAGTCTAACATGGCTGACCAGAGGCAGCGCTCACTGTCTACCTCGGGGGAGTCACTGTACCACGTCCTGGGGCTCGACAAGAATGCCACCTCAGATGACATCAAGAAGTCCTATCGGTAAGGGGCCAGCGTGGGCCCCCACGGCCCCGCAAAAGGACACACAGGCCCTCCCGTGGCCTCATACACCCTCTACCAGAACTGTGCCCACCCTTTTTCCGGGCAGGCTTACCACTACTTTTAATGGTGCCCTGCTTCTGTAGCTTAACGTTGGCATGGTGATGCCATCTTGGCAACAAAAAGGAAGACTGTCAGTCTTAGACCCTGTTCGCGGTTCCGCAGGGAGTCAGGGCTGAAGCCTTGCGACTCACGGTGCAGCAGTCCGGCCCTCCCTGTGCCCCGGAGCGAGGAGCTCGTCAGTGCTTTCGCACCCTGACCTGTGAGCGGCCCCAGACACGGCCACGGCCCTCTCTCCTCTCGCGTCACTCTGAACAGGGAGGCACTGTGCCGTGCCTGGTGTCGGGTCTACCTGCACACGGCTCGCGGTGTGTGGAATTGGCCCATGCAGGGCTGCCCGGCCCTTACTCGCCTCGAGACATTGCCCTGTGTGGCTGGGTCGGGGCAGGAGATTTGCCCTGAAGTGACAGGCTGGAGGCCTGCAGAGGAGGGACGTGGGGTGCCGGGCTCCCTCCTCTTATTTATTTATTTATTTATTTACTTACTTACTTATTTTTTGAGAGGTTTTTGCTATAGGGCGTTTGCTCTCGCCAGAAAGACAGAGAGAGACAGAGAGAGAGAAAGTGAGAAATCATCCCCAAGGGGTGATGGCCACACCACAGTCCCTTCTCCATTCTCCTCTCGGGATCTTGGGCACGCACACACATGTGCCCAGCGTGAATTTAAGCCACCAAGTCCGGGACTCGAACTGCGGTCCACTACGTGGGAGTCCAGCAACATAGCCATTACACCAACTGCTGGTCCCAGGCTCCCTCTTCTTCACAGAACCCTCCAGTCGGTGTCGGGTGGACACGTGAGACGTGAGGCCCGGACCGAGGCAGAACGTGGCTTTGCTTTGCAGGAAATTGGCGTTGAAATACCACCCTGACAAGAACCCTGATAACCCAGAGGCTGCGGACAAGTTTAAGGAGATCAACAACGCCCACGCCATCCTGACAGACGCCACGAAAAGGAACATCTACGACAAGTACGGCTCTCTGGGGCTCTACGTGGCCGAGCAGTTCGGGGAGGAGAACGTCAACACCTACTTCGTGCTGTCCAGCTGGTGGGCCAAGGTGAGGGCCGGGCGCAGAGTCGCTGTGGGGTGGGGTTCCAGCTGCTGGGCCAAGGTGAGAACTCTGTTCTCAGGACCGGGCCTCTGAGCATGTGCAACCATTCCCTGGCCCGTGTGATGAGGAGAGGTTGGGGCTGGCCTGGGACAGCCCTGCACTGAGCCAGCTGTGTCAGCGTGTCCTCCACGTTAACGTCTTTCAGTGTCCTTGTGTTCTGAGCACCTGTTGTCCCCGGGGCCAGAAGGTGTAGCTCACCTCCCGGCCTGAGCCGTGGGAGCCCTCTGGTCACTGCCGGCCGTGAGCCCCACTCTCCGCTTTGCACACTGCTGCTGTCTTCTGCCTCCCCTCAGCTCTCTCACCCTCGTCTGGCAGTGGGCGCACCGTCTGTGGCTCCTGTCCTCACCGGGAGGGTCCTTGTGCTGGCCGCCTGCAGGGCAGCCTTGGAGCCGAGCCGTGGGTGACTGCTGGGTGGACCTGCCAAGCGGGACCCCGGCCAGCCGTGAGCAGCCTGCTCCCTCCCCCAGGCGCTGTTTGTCTTCTGCGGCCTCCTCCCCTGCTGCTACTCTCGCTCTCGGTGAAGCCTTGCGACTCACGGTGCAGCAGTCCGGCCCTCCCTGTGCCCCGGAGCGAGGAGCTCGTCAGTGCTTTCGCACCCTGACCTGTGAGCGGCCCCAGACACGGCCACGGCCCTCTCTCCTCTCGCGTCACTCTGAACAGGGAGGCACTGTGCCGTGCCTGGTGTCGGGTCTACCTGCACACGGCTCGCGGTGTGTGGAATTGGCCCATGCAGGGCTGCCCGGCCCTTACTCGCCTCGAGACATTGCCCTGTGTGGCTGGGTCGGGGCAGGAGATTTGCCCTGAAGTGACAGGCTGGAGGCCTGCAGAGGAGGGACGTGGGGTGCCAGGCTCCCTCCTCTTATTTATTTATTTATTTATTTACTTACTTACTTATTTTTTGAGAGGTTTTTGCTATAGGGCGTTTGCTCTCGCCAGAAAGACAGAGAGAGACAGAGAGAGAGAAAGTGAGAAATCATCCCCAAGGGGTGATGGCCACACCACAGTCCCTTCTCCATTCTCCTCTCGGGATCTTGGGCACGCACACACATGTGCCCAGCGTGAATTTAAGCCACCAAGTCCGGGACTCGAACTGCGGTCCACTACGTGGGAGTCCAGCAACATAGCCATTACACCAACTGCTGGTCCCAGGCTCCCTCTTCTTCACAGAACCCTCCAGTCGGTGTCGGGTGGACACGTGAGACGTGAGGCCCGGACCGAGGCAGAACGTGGCTTTGCTTTGCAGGAAATTGGCGTTGAAATACCACCCTGACAAGAACCCTGATAACCCAGAGGCTGCGGACAAGTTTAAGGAGATCAACAACGCCCACGCCATCCTGACAGACGCCACGAAAAGGAACATCTACGACAAGTACGGCTCTCTGGGGCTCTACGTGGCCGAGCAGTTCGGGGAGGAGAACGTCAACACCTACTTCGTGCTGTCCAGCTGGTGGGCCAAGGTGAGGGCCGGGCGCAGAGTCGCTGTGGGGTGGGGTTCCAGCTGCTGGGCCAAGGTGAGAACTCTGTTCTCAGGACCGGGCCTCTGAGCATGTGCAACCATTCCCTGGCCCGTGTGATGAGGAGAGGTTGGGGCTGGCCTGGGACAGCCCTGCACTGAGCCAGCTGTGTCAGCGTGTCCTCCACGTTAACGTCTTTCAGTGTCCTTGTGTTCTGAGCACCTGTTGTCCCCGGGGCCAGAAGGTGTAGCTCACCTCCCGGCCTGAGCCGTGGGAGCCCTCTGGTCACTGCCGGCCGTGAGCCCCACTCTCCGCTTTGCACACTGCTGCTGTCTTCTGCCTCCCCTCAGCTCTCTCACCCTCGTCTGGCAGTGGGCGCACCGTCTGTGGCTCCTGTCCTCACCGGGAGGGTCCTTGTGCTGGCCGCCTGCAGGGCAGCCTTGGAGCCGAGCCGTGGGTGACTGCTGGGTGGACCTGCCAAGCGGGACCCCGGCCAGCCGTGAGCAGCCTGCTCCCTCCCCCAGGCGCTGTTTGTCTTCTGCGGCCTCCTCACCTGCTGCTACTGCTGCTGCTGCCTGTGCTGCTGCTTCAACTGCTGCTGCGGGAAGTGCAAGCCCAAGGCGCCCGAGGGCGAGGAGACGGAGTTCTACGTGTCCCCCGAGGACCTGGAGGCACAGCTGCAGTCCGATGAGCGGGGTGAGTGCCGGTCCTTGGCCCGAGCGCGTGGGGCGGTGCGGAGCGGGCCCTGAGCTGTGTGCACCTGTCTTGTCAAACAGGAGGGCACTGACATTGTGCCGCGCGTGTCTGTGGCGGCACCTGGGACTGTTGAGGTGTGAACGTGGACACTTGAGGTAAAGCAGGCCAGGAGCTGCCCAGGAGCCACGGGCTGCGGGAGCCGGAGATCCGAGGGGCCAGCGGTGGGGGCCGAGGGCTGGCGGCGACCTGGGCGTTGGAGAGGCTGCTGGGCGGAGGTCAGCGAGAGCCTCTCCCCTCCGAGCGCGTCCAGGTGGCTGAGCACTGCCGCACGAGGCCCGGTGCCGAGGGGTGCCCAGCGCGGCTGCTGCCCTCACACAACGAGGTGTGCATGTTTGCTTTGCAGAGGCCACGGACACGCCGGTCATCATCCAACCAGCGTCTGCCACGGAGACCACCCAGCTCACGGCCGACTCCCACCCCAGCTATCACACCGACGGGTTCAACTAGCAACGCGGAGAAGCTGAGAGTGCAGACAAGTCGGCACTGGCCGCCTCCACCTTAGAATCATGAACTGTAGTCACGGAGGTGGGGGGGCCGCCCCGCTGCTGCACTGGCCCCCACCTCCTCTGCGCCCGCCCACCCGTCGACCCTCGGTACACGAAGTGCGTAGCATGCAGTATTTAAAGCAGTGTAGCTACGGTCTTCTGTTCTCTTCCTTTAATAGCATGTGTGGGTTAGGGCCCATGTCTGTGTTGTGGACGTGCCGCGGCGTGGCCCCGTGAACCCGATGGTGGAGCTGCCGCGGGGCGTCCAGTCAGACCAGTGCCGCCTGGCCATGCCAGCTGCAGGACGGGCTGCCCTGTGCTTGTTGGGCAGAGCTGCCCCTGTGGGGGCCACGGCGTCTTACCCCCCAGGGAGGGAGCTGGCCACGTCCTCGGCCCACAGCACCGTCTCCACAGCAGCCACGCAGCACGGTCAGCACCAGCTCTCGTCCCTTGTCTCTGTGGCTTCCAGGCGGGGCTTTCCTATGGAAGGTGCGGGAGCCTCCGAAGTCAGGCCACCCCTGTGCTGTCTCGCTCTCAGCCTCCCCTTCACATGGTCCGTGAGGTCCTATCCTTGGGGACATGTCCCTGCCCCTTCCCAGGCCGCCGACTGGACTGACAAGGCCACAGTGTCCCCCCCTTCCCTGCGTCACCCTCCACTCTCCTTCAAGCCCACCTGTCCTTTTGTAACCCTCTGGGGCTTTAAAATCCACAAGTGGCAGCAAGAGCCCACCCAGTCAGGGCCATGGGCCGTGTGCTGGACAGCGTGTGGGGGCCCACGTGGGGCTCACGCAGCCTCAGCCGCCCCTGTGCTTGCTGGGACCTCTGCTCCCTGCCTTCAGCACCCGGTCACCCGATCAGGCAGCTCCGGTCTGAGGCCCTCTGAGCCGCTGGGAAGCGCACTCTCCTGTTTGGGTCCCCGGCTTGCAGGTGGTGCTGGGGCGGGCGGGGGCTGAGCAAGTGTCGTGGCATGCGTGTGGCCAAGGCCCCGATCAGCTCGCTGGCATGCGGGACCCACCTTGTCTGGTAGGCCTAGCTCTGCGAGGCCCCCTGAGCTGCTGTGGAGAAAGAGCAGGGAGGCTGCGGGCGCAGCGGCTCCGACTTGGGGGGCCCACATGCTGCTGAAGCCCCATTCCCACCCCTGCTGACTCAGCCCTGGGCACCCACTGGCCTCACCCTGGCCCCCAGAGCAGGCAGAGGCTGGTGAGGCCCCGTGTGGGCCTCGTCCTCGGCTAGCCTTGCCCGCCCCGTTGGCTTTACCTTTCGCTGAGGGAGGGTCCTCTGGGGCTTTACTCCAGCCAGGCCTTCGGAAGAGTCAGCAGGGGCTCGACCCGTCCTAGAGCGAGTGCGGGCCAGACAGCGGGCGCTCTCTGCCGATGCCAGTGCCAGCACTCGGCCGAGAGCCACCTGCCGCAGTCAGTCTTGTCCCCTTCTTGAGTGGCTGAGGGAGTGAGTGGTTTTTCCTCAAAACGGTTCAGAGCTGGGCTCGGAGCCCGTGGCTGTGAGGCTGGCAAGGCCGGGGCCTCACTCGTGTCCGAGGGAGCCCTGGCCGTGTGGCTTCGGGACAGACGCAGAGGCATGAGGCACCCTGGGCAGTGCGCGGGAGGGGAAGGGGCAGCGGTCTGGAAGGCCGTCGGTCTCCCGTGGCATCCGTGGGAACCCCGCAGATCATGATGGTGGTGACAGAGTCACGGTGGTGAGAGCGACTGCCCCGTGCCCTCCCGCCTGACCAGGCAGGACCCCTCGCCAGTGTCATCTCAGTTCGAGAAAAAGCGCTTCCCAGTCATTCCCTTTTCCTTGAGGTGATTGTTCGTAGCAGTCAGTCCGTCTGAGGGGATGGCCTGTGCCCCTCCTTGTCCAGATGCTACCAGTGGGGTGACACCCGCACCCCAGGACCTCCTGCTCTGGTGGCCACCATGGTCGGCCTTGGCCCCTGGTTTCAGGCTTTGGACAGGCCGTGGCGAGCGGGGGAAGTCCTGGCGTCGGTGGGGTCCGCGGGTCGGTGTGCGGCTCAGGGCACTGGCAGTGCCAGTCTAGGCCTGCGGGAGCATCGGGTCACAGGCTGTCGTGGTAGCCACCTGCAGGGCCGTGTCCGCTTGGTGACGTGGCCTGCTCCTGTCTCCCTTCTGCTTTACTCCTGACTGCTGAGTCTGTGGGCCCGCCCCGTTCTCGTGTTCAGCTGCTGTGCCCAGCGCCCAGTGCCCAGCGCCCAGCGCCCAGCGGGGACCTGTTCGAAGAGACCAGTGTGTCGTGGTGGCCGAGGCAGCCGTCCAGGGCAGGACCTGGCCTGAGCGTGCTGGCAGCGGGGCAGGTCCTGCCACCCTCCCGACTCGGCTCACTGCTGTGGGGTGGCTGCGAGGGGCATGAAGGGGACCGAGGCCACCCTCTTCCAGCATTCCGAGCTGTGGCCCTAGTGGCACAGGGCTGGCCTGTTGTGTTATTCGGTAAGGAATTCGCTGCCTGTGGAGTTGGCAAAAGTGGCGTTTCTGCTGTCTGTATAAACGGTCTGCGCCATCGTATGCTGTGAGCGGGGGGCTGCGGTGTGTCCGTACACACGTGTGTACGGACACAGTGCACAGCCGGCACGCCGGGCTGTTGTCCCGCGGCAAAGCAGCACACACAGGAGGAGCTGGCCGTGCAGAGGCTTCTGGCTTCTTGGCGAGTCTGGCGGGGACAGCCCCCACGTGGCTCTGGTGGGTCACAGGGAAGGAAGCATGCTGTGTGCGTGGCTGTGCATGCCTGTCGCCCTGCCAGGGGGGCTTCTCGGTGAGACTGGCAGAGCGCACGTCCCTCTCTGGGGGCCTCTGTCATTCATATCTGGCCCACAGGTCTGTCCCTCTGTGAGCCCTGGGTGGCGGCTGGTGGCCAGTCTTCTAAGCAGCAGGTATAGTCTGACCGTGTGTGTTCTGAAGGGCCCGCCCTGCGAAGGGGCTCTGTCCTGGCCACACCGAGGGGCTGGGGCCGCAGGTCCTGCCGTCCTTCAGGAAGAGCTGAGCCAAGGGGCCTGTGGGCCGCACCTTTGGTGGACTGCTCTGGGAGACGAGGTGTCTCGCGCCGTGCGGTGGGGGAGTTTGCACTGAAACGCGCAGACCTTGCTGGGAAGTCTAGCACGACCGATGGGGAGAGCTGTCGAGGCTGGTTCTGTGCCGCTGGGTGAGAGCTGTCGAGGCTGGTGGCCGGCCCGGCCCCTCGTGCACCCCAGGGCCGGGTGGAGGCTCAGGGGCTTCGCATGGTGACCTCGTCCTGTATGTCTGAATGTCGACCTAAAATAAAGATAGCTGTTGTAAAATAAATGTTTTCATGCAGACCAGTGTGTGTCTGACTTGTGGTTAGTCTTGCTGAGGTGCAGTTGACTTGGGTCCCCCGGGGGGCTGGGAACTCACTTCCTTCTTGCCTGATCCAAGCACGGGCAGTGTTACTTCCCCTTGGCTTTGTTTTCACCTCCATTTTCTTCTGTCTTTTAAAAATTTTTGTCAGGGGACCAGCAGTTAGCATAATGGCTATGTCGCTGGACTCCCGCGTAGTCGACCGCGGTTCGAGTCCCGGACCCGGTGGCTTAAACTCACGCCGGGTGCGTGTGCGTGCATGCCCAAGATCCCAAGAGGAGAATGGAGGAGAAGGGATTGCGGCATGGCCATCCCCCCTGGGGGGGGTGATTTCTCACTTTCTGTCTCTCTGTCTGTCTGGTTAGCGCACGCACCCTATAGCAAAAACCTCTCCAAAAATTTTTTTTGTCAGAGGACATGTGTGCTCATTGTGGGAAGGGAAAGTGAGGAGGTGCCTCTATGTAGAGTGGCCACGCCCCAGCCCCTGCTCTTCCACCTCGCCCTCTGAGACTTTGGGTGTGTGCGTACGTACACACACGTACACCTGGTGTGTTTTTCAAGCCATCAGGTCCAGGACTTGAACCACACAGTCGCCCATGTGGAATCCAACTGCCCTAACCACCATTCCACAGCTAGTCCCATTCCTCTATTTTCTTTTCTTCTTTTTTTTTTTCCTTTAAGGGTAAGTAAGAAGTTATTTATTTTTAATTTTTAATTTATTGTTATTTTAATTTGTTGTAACAAGGCATATGCACTCATAAGAGAGAGACAGAGAAAGTGAGAAAGCAAGCCACCAGGTCTGGGACTTGAATCGCAGTCGGCCATGTGGGAGTCCAGCACCTTAACCACCATGTAACCTCCTGGTCCCTCCATTTTCTTTTTTAAAATATGCTATGGAGCACATGCCAGAAAGACGCAGGTGCATGGTTGAGGGAGCCACCACAGCCTCTCCTCCACGCTCCTCTTGGGGTTTTGGCACACATGCATGCGCACACACACCCACTCTGTTTTCAAGCTGCTAGGTCCAGGACTTGAGCTGTGTGGTCGGCTATGCCATACCTCCATTTTCTAAATGCCAAGAGTGGAGTAAAGAAAGGGGCCCACAGGGTCTGGCAGGTGGCATGGTGGTTAAGGGTGTTGTACTCCCACACAGCCAACCACAGTTTGAGTCCCAGACCTGGCGGCTTGCTTTCTCACTTTCCATCTCTAACTCTTCCTCTCTGATCAAATTGAAATAAATAAATAAAGTTAAAATAATTCTTCAAAAACAGAAAAGCCTACTAGTTGTGAAGTCTGTAACCCAACAGCGACTCAGCACCTTGGGTCCCTGGCGTGCTCATCCAAAGCCACGCTCATCCAAAGCCACGGGACCCGTGTCTCCCGCCTGGCCGGCCTCCCGCATGGAGGCATCTCACCCGTGCCTGGCCGGCCTCCTGCATGGAGGCATCTCACCCGTGCCTGGCCGGCCTCCTGCATGGAGGCATCTCACCCGTGCTGGCAAAAGCCCTGTGGCCAACACCCTTGGTCCTGCTGTGCCTTCTGGTCAGCCACCACCAGCCCGTAGCTGCCTCTGCCTCCGGTCCAGTCCGGGATGGAAGGTCACGCAGGGCACAGCAATGCCGCATACAGGTCTTGACTTGGGACGGGGCTGCGCCTTGACCACACAGCAGGCCTCCTCCTGAGCTGGCATCACCGACCAGTTTGTCCCTCTTTGTCCAGTCTCTGCAGGCATGGCAACTTTTCTGGCTGTTCTTTTTTTTTTTTCTGAGATTTTTGTCTCTTTTTTTGGAGAGTTTTTTTTTTTTTGCTATGGGGTGTGTGTGCTTGCCAAACAGAGACAGAGAGACAGAAAGCAAGAAATCACCCCCCAGGGGGGATGGCCACACCGCAATCCCTTCTCCATTCTCCTCTCGGGATCTTGGGCACAAACACACATGCACCCAGCATGAGTTTCAAGCCACCGGGTCCGGGATGTGAACCGTGGTCGACTACATCGGAGTCCTGCGACATAGCCATTACACTAACTGCTGGTCCCAAGATTTTTGTCTCTTGTGGTGAGACAGAGACAGCAAAAAGGAAAGTGAGGAAGCACCCTCCGGGATGGCCACACCGCATCCCTTCTCCATTCTTCTCTTTGATTTTGAGGGTGCACCCACATGCACAAGCTGTCAATCTGAACCTTGCTGGCGTGTGGGAGTCCAGGGCCTTAACCGCCCCACCACCTGCCGGCCCCCCTCCCGTGGTTTTAACCCTTGTCTAGCAGGGTCCCCGTCCGTAAGTAGGTACCAGTGGCTTATAGGGCTGCACTTGCTGTGCGGGGCAGGCCACTCGTGATGTTCTCGAGGAAAAGCATCCATGTGTCCCCAAGGCCCGCTCGGTGTGTTCTAAGTGCTGGGCTGAGCAGGTCATGTCCCAGAACCGGTTTCTGGTCTTTCTGCTAGTGCACACGCAGCTTCTCAGCCCTGCCCAGTGTGGGCAGAGCCCTCTTTGGGGCCACCACACTGCCAGCCTGCGAGTGTGGCCAGGTGGTTTTCCTCGTTTGGTTTAAAGAGTTAGGAAGAACTCACTTTTTTTGTTCCAGCATTTTTTAAGATTTACTTAATTTTATCTATCATTTTTTTTATTCGTTACAGGGCGCATACGCTCACCAGAGAGACAGAGGGAAGGTGCGAAAGCAAGCCAAGTCCAGGACTCGAACCGAACCTTGTCCAGTCATGTGGGAGTCCAGGGCCTTAGCCGACCAGTCACCCGCTGGCCCTTGTTTTCAGTATTTGGTGTGTGGGGTCCTTGGAGAACTACCACGGAGCGCCCAGCTGGCAGACAGACGGCAGAGGGTGGGCAGTGGGGCCCGTCCTGGTCTAGGGTCTGAGCGGTGCTTTGGCCCGATTCTCCCGGTGCCCACGCCGGGACCCTAGGCTGCTAGCGGAGGTCACGGTTGCCATTTGCAGGCAGAGGCCCCGGGCGCACCCGCGCGTCCCCGCCGGGCCGGGTGGGACGACCCTCCCGCGGCTGCACTTGCGAGGAGTGCGGGTGGCCAATGGAGGCTCGGGGGCGGGCCCTGGCCGACCAATGGGGGCCCGGGGGCGGGGCCGGCGGGCAGG